CAAGCTGGATTTCGTCGAGGTCGTAGCTGCATTGACCACATCTTCACCTTGCGTCAGTTGTTGGAGCACCGTCACATATATTGGCGGCCCACCGTTGTCGTGTTCCTCGATATCAAAGGTGCATTCGATTCGGTGGATAGACACGCACTTTGGGACTGTCTACTCAGGAAAGGTGTACCTGAGAAATATGTGAATATTATCCGAGCATTATATGCGCGTAGCTTGGGCGGAGTGAGGGCTTACGGCAAGTTGTCGTCGCCCTTTAATATCTCCAGCGGCGTGAGACAAGGATGCCAGCTGTCACCATTCCTCTTCAACTTCGCTGTTGACGAAGTCATGAAAATCAGTCTACAGGACACGACTTAGAAAATGTGGAGCTACTCCCAGGAGAACGACTTCTTGATTTAGAGTATGCTGCTGATATTGCCCTCATCTGTGACAGCTCACAAACGTGCCAAGCGGCACTGGACAAATTAGCACTAGCTGTCCGTCACTTCGGCCTTTGCTTCGCACCCTCGAAGTGCAAAGCGTTCCTCCAAGATTGGTCTGGACCGCCTCCTGCGCTGACCCTTGGTGGGGATCAGCTAGAAGTCGTTCAAAAATTCAACTACCTGGGAAGTTGTATCAGCGCCCGTGGGATTGAAGATGAAATCACGAATCGTATAGCAAAAGCTCGGGGCGCTTTTGCTAACCTTCGTCACCTATGGCGCCGGCGCGACATCACTCTTGCTCTGAACGGTAGAGTGTACAGTGCAGCAGTACGTTCGACCCTATTGTACGGTTGTGAAACCTGGCCGCTTAAGGCAGCGGACCTGAAGACGCTAGTTACCTTCGACCACCGGTGCCTTCATAATTTAGCTCACATTTGGTGGGAACACCGCGTGAGCAACGAGCGTGTTCGACGCCTTGTTTATGGCACAGGAAAAGGAAATGAACCGCTCAGCACCGTTATTTCACGCATCAGGCTCCGATGGCTCGGACACGTGTTACGCATGCCAGCCCACCGACTTCCGCGACGTGTGTTGTTTGCGCGCCGCGGGTGTGGATGGAAGAAGAGGAGGGGTGGCCAAGCGATGACTTGCTCGAGAGGAATGTAGGCCCTCACTTCTGAGCTGGCCTCGGTTGGAGCGTCTCGGCTCCCTGGTTGGGGTCCGAAAGACGATGAACACGTGTGGTTGGACACACTTGCTGATATGGCTAGGAGCCGACCTCAGTGGCGTTCGTGCTGTGAGTATCTTTGTCCCACCCCATCCCTCTTAGCCTCCCCCTCCAACCACGATCTCATTACTTAGCCTTATATAATTTTGCATAATAATTTTTTGGGGTACACAGCAGCCAGCTGGTAGCTTACCGGAACGATGCCCATCCGTTACCGGTAGCTCAGCCAGCTTTCACCAGTTGTTATTTTTTCTCTCCTTTTTTTCTTTGTATTGCGGCACAGTAGCTGAGGTGTTCCCCACCTCTAGCTAACATGTATGATGATGATGATGAGTGTCCGTGTCATTGTCAATTCATGGCTTAATTCAACACGCCTCTGTTTCTGATCGTCAGTCGACAGGCTGGGTAGGAATTGTGCACTGACACGACACATCTCCAGTCTATCACTCACAAATATTGGTATGATCCTACGCTGAAGTCCAGTTCGTCAGTAACTTCTCAAAGCAGACAAACAACGATTTTCGAGGAATACTGCACGGACTCTCACTTGACAAGGTCATCGTCTGTTAATGTGGAAGATCTCTCAGGCTTGGGATCATCCAGACCGACATTCTGCTGTGTTCAAAGCGCCTAAACATCTTATAGCAATGTGAGCGACTTAAACAGTCCTCCCGTATGCTTGGTTAATCAATTGAAATGTCTCCGTAAATGTTTTGCCAACTAGTTGTAGGATTTCGCACACACACACACACACACACACGTTTTCCTTCAAACTCTTTCGCTGCCACTTGACACCAATCCGTCGAGTAACTTGTGAAAGTTCTCACTTCAGTAGCTGTAGCCCGCCAACTAATGGTCGGAGCAAAACATGGAACATGATGGTCCGTTTTCTAGAAAAGGCTCTACGTGTGCTCTGTAGCCGCAGCCAGGTCTCTCTACCGATTGGCAAACCATTTAAATATTTCAGTTTCTTTCTGAATGGTTCTGCTCATAGCCATGCAACACTTGAGAGCAGCCGATAAACTCAGTTAACCCCTTGAGCTAATTTCTTATTGTACATGGAAAGTGCAAAAGAAACAAGGTACGCTAAGTGACAATGGTGTTACGTTTAACAAAGTCTCAGGATTCCTTTCATACGGACACCAGTCGATCCGCTCTGTACCTCTACTTACCTACGAGAGACGGATGCTCTTGTGCCATTGCGTGGTGATGGACCAGTTGGCGAAATGTGTCTGCTAAGCAGCTAACGCGAGAGACTAGGCCGCGACACAGACCGATTGATCTGATGTCGTCAGTTGCACCATCAGGCCACAATCACATAGTCCACCACAACCACGGCGATGTGTGGGCGTGTTGTGGGGTCATGTATTGTCAAGTGTATGCATGCTCGCACTTAAGTATGGATAAACGCATGTACATATGTTGTATTCGAACTGCCATTGGACAAAGATGACGCCAATCTATCTATATATGCATACAGAATGAATTCGACGAGGATACTCATACCGCTTTGTACGGCTAACTTAATGCAGTAGAACGACATTCGAGCAAACGGAAAATAATATTACCAGAACATGAAGAAGGTGAGTTTATGACAAACTCATGTTGATTTCAGGTGTTGCGAATCCAAGGCAAATTTGATCGATGCGAATTCCGTGAACTGCTCCAAAGGGCGGTTTCTCAGGTGCCGGAGAAGGCATTATTGCATGAGGAATAGAAGCACCATAAGTATGTTCCCATACAATTTACTAATCCAGGCCAATAAGACGGGGTATGTGGTACGTTTGCCTGCGTGATGAGTAATCTTACATTTCAGAAGTAGATATTGCTTGAGCTCCCCGCTGTGGATGCGCCTGATGTGAATGTTGACAAGGTGCCTACCTGTCTATTACCCACTACCTCGTCCATACTGGCTCCAGGTAACAGTTGGTCGTTACTGAAGGGGACCGGGTGCACGGTCCTTGTGGCCGTGCTAGGCTCGAAGAGTGGTTACATGCACTCAGTGTGGAGCGGACTACGGTCCAGCCACCGACTTGTGTGCGCTTGATTCCCCAAATAAAGCGTGTTTGTGTTTGCCTGTGAAGGAGTGTGGGCCGGCTCCGTTGATGAAACGTGGCTCCCATCCACATGCCTCCCGGTCTTATTGTTTCGGGTTTACACTGGATATGGAGTGTGTGGATGGAGCTGTGGGTGGTGCAGCGCAAGCCAACCATGGTCCCTCTGCAGGTGCAGTCGTCCTGTGGCTGGCCACAGTGACAGGTAAATCCGATACCGAATGCCGCCAACGATATATATATATATATATATATATATATATATATATATATTCAAAGAAGTCTCCTGTTCAGTAAACCGAAGAGGACATTCCTTTGAAAGAGACAGTAGGATATATATCCACTCTCGGCACAGTTACGGACGGTTCTCGTTGGTCACGGATCACAGATTGCCTCTGAATGAAAGAAAAGGGGTAACCGGCATCCTGTGGTGTCCTAAGCATGCATTACCTTTCGCCTTCCCTAGTGTCTGGACCACCAATTTTGCTGACAAGATAATACTGAGAACGAATTAAGTTTCCTCTGTACTTCAACGGTACAAAACTGTGAAAATGTACATATTCACCTGTCCAAGTGCAATTTCTATAGACGCTCCTCTGGAATGGGCCGCCCTCTCGTTTGCTTAGCAATATGTCCAGAAAGTCTAACATTCCTTCCCTTTTAATATCGCTTATAAACACCTGTGGTCTATTAAACTGATCTAGCGGATGAGCAACAGAAGTGTTTTTTAGCAGAAATTAGAAAAGAATCATCATTGTATCTCCAGTAGAAAGCAAGTGAGACGATAATTGTTCGGAGAGGCCCACCTCCACGATGGTCAAGGAAATTGTCGGTAAGCAATGAATCCAGGGGCGACCCCATTGCAGTGCCAAAGCGCAATCCCAAAGAAGTTAATAGGTGCCTACTAATGACGGCTGAGACCATTTCGATCCGGCTAATACAACATGAACTGTGCAAGCTGAGGGTGTAGAGCGCAAATTGCTGTGGCCAATTAAGCTAGGTGACGGCAAGCTAGGTAAAGAAAGCGCGCCAGCATGACATATTTTCTGCGTCAACGGTAAGCACTCAACTGGCCTAACTAACAATCGCTCAAAGATGGGAATTGTTTGCTGAGTTAAAATCATCCATCAGTTGAAAACCATATATGAAGACGAAAACGGGTGCAAAAGGTGTACAACTATCGACTTCCATTGTTTTAATTGTTGTTCAACCTTGTTTATTCAGCATACTTTCTAAGCCACTCTTTTATGCCCAGGGATACAGATGTAGAAGAACGTTACATTGCAGATACATCTGAACTTTCTTTGACATATACCTTAGTTATGTGGTGCAGACTGACTACGCAGGGAGTGTTCCAAACAGTTGTGGCAGAATTTTAGGCGTTTGGAAAGTGTTAACTAGTGTGAGGCCGTCTTGCAACAAGTAATACAGTCCACTGCATGATCATGCCAATTTCAATTCAAAGTGAAGTTGAATGAATCATCCATTGAATAATTTGTCACCTTGAGTTGTGGGGTCTCGAATGCACTAGAGTGGTGCATCGGTTACGACTAGTCTCTCAAACGCATGCTTTTGGAAGAGTTTAATCACCTCCTCTATGCAAACATACGAAACAATTTAGGATGGAAAGACCTCTCCGATGAACTGCGTGTAACAGTCATTAAAATCGACCGCATGTAGTTTCGGTACAGCATATCAGAAATATACATACAAGGCAGAAACTTCGTAATCAATTGAAGTGAAAAAACACAAGAATGCTTGATAGAACACCATGACTTTCAAACTTACTTTTGGAGCTGGCTGAAGTACGAATTCTTCCAAATTTTCCGTTGGATCCAACCGTGTATGCGGGTTACTCTGGTCAGCAGCTTTGGGGAGCCCTGTGGACTGAAACGGGGACGAGAATTAAGCAAAACTAGTCCCGATAGATGCCGCGAAATAACTGAGACAAACGCTTGTATGCAGCAACGTCGAACTTGAACCCTAACAACAGGGGGTCTAAATACCGAAGATTTGGAGTTGGTGTGCCCTGTGTCAGTTGGAAACTGGCGAACCTCGACCGTGGGCTGATCGGATGGACGAAACAGTATTGACGATTTCTCAACAGCTCGCCTGTGTTTATGAGAGGGAATCCTTTTGCCCATCGATAGTATCCGAGCTGTTTGTGCCAGTTGAATGATCGGAGGCGATTTACACGATGCTTTTCTGCTCGACGGAGCAGTTACTTTCTTTGCATTTTTGGGTACAGGTGTACGAAAGCTATCAAGTGTGTCAGACGCCAGCAACGAAAGACAAGATTCAGTGGCACTAGCAGCGTTATGGAAAACTGTGTTAGAATTCTTTTGATCACCCACGTTTCCTCGTTTTCGCGGACCATGGGGTTTCGGAGATTTGAAGGATTCCACCTGGATGACGATGCTCTGAGCGTCACCAGCATCATTCTAGAAATGGTGTTTTAGAGGGGAAGTACAGTAACACTCAGAAATCAGTGTACCGCTCACCGATCCCGGCGATTTGATTGCAAACGTATCAGTGCGTTTGAAATGACTCTTCCATTGGTGATGAAACGACGGCAACAAAAGTGTCAAACTCAGTGAACAGTTCAACTAACAAATGAATAATCTAAGTTATCAAAATGTGCTTGAATAGCAAAACACGGTATCGCCCCGCAGCTGGGGGAATCAATTGCCAAATTTTTATCATGCTCTTTAACTGACTCACTTGCATCATAAACTAGTGTTTGGCCGACCGTTCTGCTCTGCACTGTACATTTTTCATTGTCATTTTGGATATAATAACCAGCGAATTAACTAACAACAAACCGCATACAGCACATCTAGTGTGGCTCCACGCCGCGAAGAGGAAAGAAGTCGGGTAATCAGGGGAACGCTATGTACCTATTACAACCTTGCAATCAACTTGATTGGCCCTTAGTATCTTCATGCAACACTTTCCAGCATGTTGACAAGACCGCCCTGTCAAAGTCTGCAATAAGAATGACTCCCTAAAGTAAGCTCAAGTGAAACACAGGTTGGAATCATCGCAGATCGTAAGATGACAAGATTGACTTCAGACAGTGTCAGATGTCTATAAATTCAAACTTCGTTTTTAGTTTAAGCTATGTAACCACCATGTTTAGTATTCCCCCGAAAGACACAGCAAGTGAAGTGTTACAACAGCTGTATTTGACTTTCAAAAACACTCATTAATTGCAGCACACAGTTGACAAGGACGTCACTGTGTTAACATGGATTATGAATGCTTCCGCCTTCCATTAATCGCAGGTAAATACCACTGACTGCATGCCACCCGATTGGTTTGCTGTACGAGCCAATCGCATTTCTCCGTGTTCCACCTGTGCCGACAGTTCAAATGTATGCGATTACGGTTATTTACTTGTATCATTGCTTGATACACCGGTGATAGTTGATTGCTGGCGTCAGTCAGAACTTTGGTTGTCTTCTTTTTCTGAACATTCTATTAGTAACAGTTTTCCTCTTCTTTCAGCCACATTCTACTAAATTCTACAATGTATTCCTAGTAAGCTAACCCTACATGTTTTCGCTGTGCCATTTCCCCTTTGTAGTCACCTTTTCCAGGAGAATAAACTCAACATTCGCGAGATTACTCTCTACGTGGTAAAGCATTCACGAAATCACCTCAACTGGTGATGAAACCTCTGCAGCAAAATTAGCCAATTAAGTGAACAAATTTCAACATAAACAGTCAAAAAACGCCACAGCAATTTCGATGTATTGCAAAATTTGCACGTCGAACTCACCATTGGAATAGCAAAGTGAAGAGTATCTGTCTCTAGCGCCTGAATGGAATGAAGTTTTTGAGAGGATGATCGCTGGGCAGGAGCGGGAGCCGACTCTCGTCTTTGATCTTTGGACCTCTCTTTACGTTTACCTGGATGGGGAACACAGAGTTTGGCGACATCCGGAGACAGTTGACCGGCGTCTTGTGCATTAGATAGGTTCTGTAAAACATAAAATATATATGACGGAAGGATAGGGTCGAGAACTACCATGAGAGTAATCGTAGTTTCTACGTAATTAAATGGGCCTGGCACTGCTATGTGTACGAAAACCGTGTGGAAGAACTCATCCGGCACTTGTCGGATAACACCGTCTGCAGATTGCCGCTCAGTTATCTGCCACGCATGGAGAGTGGAAGTTACGAAACAGAGAAATGCAACCAAATCGGATGCCACATGCATGATTACAGTACAAGCCGGAACGATGTGGCTGAAATGTGGCCGCATTCCACACACAAATCCAACTTCAGTGCAAGACCACAGTCAGTAGTATAATAGGGCAGTGCGGAGATGTTAACCATACCTAAAAAGCAAGTCAAATGCTTCCGAGTTTTGCCGGTATTTTCGGGTAATTAAACAGCAAACACTGTAAAACCAGAGGACAAACATGGACGGAACATGTCAAACAACATCCAACGGTAGTTCGTTCTAACTTCTTTAGTTGGTAATTGCATACTACACAAGCGTAGCTGGGCTGCGTTCTCTGACACTTTCCAGATTAAGAACACAGGCACACCTACCACGTGGAGGCAATGGTGCGTACGTCTGAGCTGTTCGTCAAATGATAAACGCTAGAATCCGTAAGTAGTGATTACAAACGCGACTGATTGCTCAGATCCTAGCTTGGCTTAGTACCATGCTATGCCACCAAAGCACACAAAAAGTTGCCAAACTTCTACCAACGCCTAATTTTGCAACCACAAGTATATACACAATGGGGAAGGATAAAAAAATTCAAAGACCACCAGTTGCTTGTGAATTTGTTACTTGAGCAAACCGAAGATATATGAGCCGTCCAAATGTCAACCTACTTCATGTGTCGCAGTAAATTACGCAGTCTGCAGAGACCACCTTGACCCCACTCCCAATGAGCCTACAGAGCTTGATTCGATTGCCCTACCTGAGTTGACGTCGTGCACACGCATCCGCACCATAATCTTGGTTACCATCACCAAAGGTCTACGAAATAAACTGAGTGTTACGTTAACGTGTAGGTCAGGCCTTTGCAGACTGAGCATCTTGGCTGGGGGTAGTTAATCGACCCCTTGCCTCGGCCTGGACAACAGAGATTACGCAAGACTGCACGATGGCTTCTCACAGGCCGTACCATGCTGCCAAATGAGTTGGCATCTGCATGCACGCAGTCTAAGACAGGGGTATCCAAAGTCCGGCCCGCGGACAAAATGCGGCCCGCGATAACATTCCAACTGGCCCGTGGCCTCATCATGAACTAATAAATGCAAGCCTGTATTCTTTCCGTACAAACGACATTAAATCGATTACAAAACATTAAGGACATCATGAGCAAAATTTCCACGGCGCCAGATGTTGGCAAAAATCACTGTAGCCGAATCTTGCATGATTGGAATTTCATCTGGAACTTGCTAAATGCTGGCACTTTGATTGTGCTTTCCGATCATTCAAATGACCTCACATTGTGCTTACGAATACAGTACGTGCACTATGTCCCCAAAAGGCCCGGATATTATGAACACACTCATACGCCCCTCCCATATACATATCTTGGTAACCGTACAATTCTCCGTATGCTGACACCCTTGCCCAGTGCTTCATCTTCATTCCCTCACTGACGATGTTTGACCTCATTTATTTTCGTCACATTGGTAACAGACGCCCCATGCACTAGGTATGACGTCACTAGCTTCATGGTGTTGCAACATAGCAACCACTATCGTCATCAAACTGTCCAATCTGTTTGCTTGTGTATTACATGTTCAGCTGAGTGTTGGGGAGCGACATGCGGAGAAACCGAAGCTTTGTCACCAAAACATTGTCAAGGTGAGCCTGTCACGTACTAATGTCGATTTCAGGTGTTGGGGATCGAACGCGGTCGATCGACGTGCCTGCCCCCATTTGATCACGAATGTAGTTGCCGCAGTGTAAAAGCCCTCGTGCATGCGGAGAAGCGACAGGTGCGGAAGCGACAGGCGCCGATGGTGTGTACTTCATCGAAGTCCAGCACATGGTGCTGTAGCACATGCGGTCGCGAGTGCCTGAGTCATGCAGGCCTTGTGAGCCACGAGCGAGGCCACTCGGTATCAGCAACAAAAAGACGACGGGTGCTGTTGAGAACATAGGGAGGACCAACGCAGCGTTGGTACGTACGGTGCATTCGATTTACTAACCGTGTGCTTGCATGCCGAGTTACGTTCAGGTGATCAGTTTGCTATATTTTGTAAATATACTTAATTTACCTCGTTTTTGTGTCTATCTGAATAGGATGTTTACTTACTCACGTCGCTAATTTCGTTAATCATCATCATTACACACATCAGCTAGGGGTGGGAAAACACCTCCGCTATTGTGCCGCAATACATGAAGGAAATACATACATACATACATACTTATAATACAATACACAAAGGAAAAATAGATACAACAGTTGCATGCCAGCTGAGCTACCAGCAACGGATACGCATCGTTCCGGTAAGCTTCCAGCCAGCTACTAGGCAAAAAGAAAAAATGTTATGTTTTACCCTACGAAATGAGATCGTAGATGGAGGGAGAGGCTAAAAGGGATGGGGAGGGACAAAGAAACTCACAGCACAAATGCCACTGAGGTCGGCTCCTTGCCATGTCAGCAAATGTATCCAGCCAGAGTGTTCACCGTCTCTTGGACCACTACCAGGGATCCGTGACGCTCCAACCGAGGCTAGCTCCGAAGTGAGAGACTTCATTCCCCTGGACCAAGTCATCGCTTGGCCACCAATGATCTCATTTGCTGTCATCTTGAGTTTATGGAGAATTTGCTGATAATAACTTTCTTCCATATAATACTTAAGTGAAGAGGTTAGCCGGCATATCCGTATGCCTTATCCGTTTTATTTTATTTAGTATCTTCATTCCAAGTGAATGTCTGTTCGTGACATTCCCGTGTGGTTGCGACTGATGTGCATACCGACAAGGTGCCTACCTGTCTATTACCCACTACCTAGTTCAAACGGTTCCAGGAGACAGGTGATCGTTGCTAGAGGGGACGGGGTGCACGGTCACCATGACCGTGCTAGCCTCAAAGAGTGGTTCTATGCACATGGTTTGCGTGTGGAGCTGTCTACGGCTTAACCACCGCCTTGTGTGCGCTTGATTTCCAAATATAGCGTGCCTGTGTTTGTCTGTGAAGCAGTGTGGGTCGGCTCCGTTGATGAAACGTGGCTCCCATCCGCATGCCTCCCGGTCTTATTCCTTCGGGTTTACACTGGATATGGGGTGTGTGGTTGGAGCTGTGGGTAGTGCAGCACAAGCCACCCATGATCCCTCTGTAGGCGCAGAAGTCCTGTGGCTGTCCCGTTGGAGGCCACAGTGACAGGCATAACCGGAACGGGATGCCAACAACCATGTTAACAGCACTCTTTGGTCGGATGATCTGTCATTGGCCGGTGACCCTGCTAACAGTGTCACGCGTCGATTAAGTTGACTTGTCCTCCGGATGTCAGGATTGAAGAGCAATTCCCTTCCTATTGTGCAACTACAATTTGTCGTTTACGGTGATATATCGGAACCTGAACAGTTGAGGTTTGCCCAAATTTGTCTAACTGTATGCATTTTAATAGTATCATACTGTGATCCAATCTTGTTTCATTTATGGGAGCATTGGATTCGTGTCATTCAACCATCAATGATCCAGTATGGCTTAGTAGTACCCAGATAGGGAGAGTAAATTTTGTACTTTAACTATAGAAAAAAAGGTGGCTTCGTTAACATTTTATTATCTATTATTACATAAAGTTAGTCTGTTCAGAGAACGGGATTTTTATTTTATAGGTTATTTCAGTTTAAATTGTCATTGTGTTATGTTACTTAAAGTACTGCTTTAGATACAACAGTCACCTTACTGATCATTTGATTGCGCAAACCGCAAAACATTGCTAATCCACTTTCACAGCACCTACGGTAAACATACTACTACTACTACTACTACTACTACTGCTACTACTACTACTACTATTACTACTACTACTACTACTACTACTACTACTACTACAACTACTACTGACACTACTACTACTACTACTACTGCTACTACTACTACTACTATTACTACTACTACTACTACTACTACTACTACGAGGACGACGAAGACCACGACCACTAACATGACGACGTGGAACTACTAACAACTAAACTGAAAAAATATAAATTGATTGCTTAACTTTTTCGTTATGTTTTTCATTCCTGGTCTAGAAAGAAGAATGCGACTAAAAAAAGATTTGATGACGTAGGTCGCCCCTTCCAAAAGAAGTGGAGACAGAAGTATGTTATCACTGAACCACTGAAAAAGTGTGGGGGTTGCTTTGTTTGAAAAGGGTCGCAGATTTTAAGGAAGCGAACATCAAGAGGCAATACAAAACGCAGCATACTACCCACGACACGACGCCCCTAATTTATGCGATCGGATAGTTCAAATCCGACCCTACAATCATGCGGTGCTGATGTGGCGTTCCCCACCCAGTGGAACGTGTATACCAGCACCAGCCTGATGCAGTTTGTCTTGGTCAACGGGCCGGGACGCCATGAGTGTGGCGATGCCGATCCCGTAGCGCGATAGTTCCATCGCGACCAGTGCAGTGCGTCGCTCGGAACGCTCACTCGTATTCCGGTCAGGCAGT